ATGTGATTGAGTTCTTCAGGTTCACAGATACGTCATGCTCTCTCATTTTAAATTCTCCTCTTTTGTTGTGGCTAGTGGTGTGTTTGCTCGGGTACCTTTCTGTGAGTGTGTTGGTTCCCTTTACACTCTGTGGCCCAATGTACCATCTTCACGTCTATTCCCAAAAGCTTCAAGAAGGCTAAAGTCCCTTGGAATTGGATTTTTGGGTTGAGAGAGTTCAGATTTAATAGAAAATCATTTGGTGTCTCTTCACCATCTTGCCATACCAAGAACGTGTCATGAACATAATGCAGCCAACGATATAGCTTCACGGTCTCTTGCTCTAAGGCCCTTTGTTCGAAATTTTCCATGAAAAAGTTTGCCACCGCCAGGCTTACTGGATTGCCCATTGCGGTACCATCTGTTTGTTCGTAAAAAACACCATCCCACTGGAAAGAACTTGATTATAATCAATAAGCGAAGAGGGCGATTATGTCTGCTGTGAATACTTCGCCAATTAGCAGTATCGTGTCTTTGATCAGAACCATGGTGTACTAACTTGGTTAGCGCGTCGAGACACAGTATTTTTATTCTGGTGTGGGAAAGTGTTTGCAATAGATATTTACATGCAAAAAATGAGACAATTTAGTTCTGTCATTGAAAATTCGTACTCAGGTGTTATGTCTTCTCATTTTTCAATATTCTTTATTTTATACTGTTCATCTCTTTTACAGGACACACTAACGTTGTAGTAAACACTAACAAATCTACTATAATAGAAGAGGTCTGCAATGGAGAATTGAGTAAACTGTGTTGTCGATTCAACATAACAGTCGATATTAATGAAACAATCCAGGGACAACATGCTTACGTCTACCAAATGGTGGTTTTTAGTGGAATCAGGTCATATAATGGTGGTACTGTTGAAGTAGGACTGGAATTGTGTGGTGTGATAGCATGTTTGAATGATTCTCTTTCATCATGTGGCCAAAGGTAACAAAATACGGGATTGGAAAGTGAAGTTGACCAGCTCAAATATTAAATCAAACTTTCTTTAAAGAAACACCGGTCCTATAAAAACTATTGATTCCAAGTGTTAAACATGATTAGGTTGTTGTAAATAATACAGTATACATGTGTGTGGTGTACCATTCTCCCGGAGCATCACATGCCGATTTCTTAGCATTCTTGGAAGAAAAACTAGAAGAGATAGTAAGTTGTAATTGTGATATTATTATAGTGGGCGATTTCAATCTAAATATTAAAGGCACAGAGAACACTCACACCTGAAAAATCAAAGAACTGATTTAATTCATGGGACTGTATCAATTAGTTGACGATATACTAGGTCCATTGCTGTACATTCTCTATACCAATGAACTACAAATGGACAACAACTTAAACACTATACAATTTGCTGATGACACAACCGTTATCCTTGAAGAACAAAATGGAGATGACTTGGAAAGAAATGTGTTCGATGCTTTAAGTACCCTGGAAGCTTGGTTTGCACAAAATCACCTAAAGCNTCTGATTACATTAAATAATTTGCCAAGTCATATAAAAAGCTGTGATTCATTAAACTCATTCAAAAGAAAATGTAGTAAATATATTTGAAGTAATTATCATCAATAATTCATCTTGTTTCTAGTTTTATGTTTTTGAAATGTGACTTGTCCCTAATTTTATATATTTTTTATTGTTTTGTATTTTATAAGTGACTGACTGTACTATGAAGAGCATTATTTGCTTATAAAAAGTAATAATTATACTGTTGAGAAAAAAATCGTTTGATGCTCCAAATTTATTTTTCATTCTTAAACGTTTTAGAAACGTACGTTCCATTTGTGTAATTTTCACTTCTGACAACAAAATCAACGATTATTATCTTTTCTAGGTATTCAAACTACGAAGATATTGTTTGGCCTATCACATTCAAGAGTATTAGTATTTCTGCCACTTTTCCAGATGATTTGAATAGAATCCAGTACCCAAATTCCCTATTATCATCATTGAGGCCCATTCTACCCCGACACACGATATGGAAAAAAGAAAAAATTGGAGGCCGTGTAGTGAGAACCCATATTCTGAATGAGCCCCAAAATAGGATGCTTACTTTCGGTATTTTTGGAAGGGATTTCAATAGAGATTCTACAGTATCTCCTAATAAATCAGCCGAATTGCAGGCATTGAGCTTTCCTTTGGTTCTGAGTATTTGTCTAATCTTATATTTGACTATGTTTTAACCATACAGACTTGACCTGTGAGCAATAAATAGATGAGACTTGCCTGTGCAATTATTCACCTATTAATCACTGAGAGCAGTAAACAGAAAACACGTATACAACTTTTTGTTGTTATAATATTTATGTCATATTAGTTTTTATCACTCACTAGTTGAATATGTTTTCCGACTTCTCGGCTACTGACTCTTTGTTAGGTTAGGATGAATTCGTAACATTGAAGGAGAACAATTCACCTAATTTTTTTAATAGACCTCGTATTCCTTCAAAGATTCATTATTACTTTCATTTTCTTCATGAATCTATAATCTACATGTGTTTGAATGTTTTCTATCTCAAGTTTTTTCAATCCAATATTTGTTGAAACAGGTAAGAGTTTCAAACTCTCAATTTTAAAAGAAATCATTTGCAGTTAGTACTCCAAGTTTCACTAGAAAATGTTGATCAAGTGTAATAGGCAGAATTGAAGACTCTGTGTAATTGGGGATATTTCTTTCTTCTTAAAGAAAGAAAAGAAAAGATAACCCTTATTGTCATAAATAATACTCAAAAAGAATTAACAAGAAATTTGAGGAAATTGAAAAACTTCGAAATGAACAATCGTTTTATTTATTCAACTAGCATTACTTCCATATATACCTAAAATTAAATTACAGTAACACTCCACATATTCATTCCCATACACAAAATCTCTTCACCATGAAAATGTCATAATTTCAAATCACGCTAGGTTATATATCATGCATACATAAAATAATGGGATACCATAAGACCTCAAAACAGTTGAATTATGCCACACAATAACCAAAACTCAATCATCTTATCAAACATGGTTCCCAAACAATCATTAAATACAAATAAAATAATTTTCAGTCAACTTAAAATATCTTTCTAGAACTTGCACTGGGTTGTTTTTTTTAGTAAAAGTTGGACTGAATAAATAACAGAAAAAAAAAGTATTATTTCTTCCCGAGTTCTGATGCTGAAAAGAAAAAATCCATGAAAAACCCGAGTGACGGCAACTGTGAAACACACATCTTCAATTAGTACTCCTCTCAACCGTCTAAATGGATGCCTTCTACAAAATTTTTATATCATATGATCAAAACTTCAACCACCTTCAAACTGATCAAAACTTATTTTTTCAAATTCATTTTGTAACAAAATTCGAAATATTTGACAAACGTATTCCAAAAACACTTTATTGTGAGATTTTCACTAAATTGTTTTACAAAAACGCAACACGTGTTTCGCCATACAATGGCTTCATCTGGCATGTCTTTCAACTCAATTTAGTGAAAATCTCACAATAAAGTGTTTTTGGAATACGTTAGTTATGGATTTTCATCAAGTATCGGCCGATTCCATCATATAACGAAATATTTGAGTTATGAGGGTGTATGATGGGATTGGCTGATACTTTTCAAAGTTAACAAGTGAGGGTTTTAAAATGAATGAGCAACATTCAAAAGAAAAACAAGATAATGTTTTCCATTGAAAAGTTATTCCATTTGACATGTTTAGAAACAGAGTTGAGGGAAGTATGTGATAAATTAACTTTACATCTATCTTAAGCGTACAAAACAATGGGTGAATTCTCTCAACAGATACAACCTAGTTTTTTCATGTACAATCTCAAAAACTCTGATTTTCACTTGAATTCAACAGTGAGCTCAACAGCTCTGAATATCATTATACCCAGTTATCAGAATTTATTTAGATTATCTACTGCTTCAGAAAACTTTTCTTAGTTTATCCGTGTTAGAGAAAAACCGAATCAACATTTCATGTTTTTATTATTCTGGTGCTAACCTCTCTTTTCAGACATCACTGAAAGCACTATTCCGGTAGATGAACTGGGAAAACGTTCTTGAATAATATAACAGAGTATAACAACACTTCAATTTTTCATATAATTGTAGTTTACATGTATTACATGTACAAGAAACATATCCAAATGAAAGTATTAGAAAGCGCATTGAGCAACATAACCTTCGAAACATATATGAATTCTGTCTGTGATTGTTGAGACTTTGAAAAATAACCTTTGTCCTCGCAGTTAACGCACCTCCGTTCCAAATGGAATGGTGAGATCATTTCATTTGGAACGGAGGTGAAATATCTTGGCATTGTCCTTGATAAAAAACTCACCTGGAACGCTCACTTGGAAAAAGTTTTACACAAAGCTAGACTGTTTCTATGGACATGTCGAAGGATTTGTGGTAAAACTGGGAGCTTATGTTCCAAACAAATCCATTGGATTTATCTGATGATCGTCAGACCAATGATCATTTATGGAGCAATTGACTGGTGGCCAAAGGCTTTACAGAAAACGGCCCAGAGACAGGCTTGTCACTGTGAGCCAAATCGTCAGCGGCCATGAAAGAAAGAAATTTTTATTGATGCTTTACACTCTTCATGTTTACACAGAATATACTAGTAAAATAGGTAAGTCGTGGTTATAATTACATCTACATAATATAAAAGGTTTAAACTTAAAGACAGTTATAAAATATTTATGCTCTACCTGTGTGTCACTGCAACATTGGCAAAGATTAGATCACATCATCAGACAGGAATTCTTCAATGCTATAATACGCTTTTTTGATAAGCAGTTTTTTTATTATTTGCAGGAAACTTTCAGTAGGGGTACAGTGTATAGCTTCAGGAATTTTGTTGAAGAATATTGGACCATAATAATTTTTATAATTTCTGATTTTAGACGACCTATGATACTGTAGAACTAAATTATTCTTTTGTCGGGTATTATGTAAATGAGTAGTGGATACATAGTTCATAAGTTTTTATATTGATTTTTATAAACTTGATGCATTCATAAATGTATAGTGACGGTATAGTTAAGATACCAAATTTTATAAATTTTTCTCTAATATCCTCCCTATAAGTATGAGAGAGCATATATCGAATAGCTCGTCTCTGGATACAAAAAATTCTTTCAGTATGTGCCGAGTGACCCCAACAGAGATCCTTCAACAGAGATCAATGGAGATCCTTCTAGACCTACCTCCTCTCCACATTTTTCTGGAGACGCTAGATGGACTACATATAGACATGTACACATTGCAAATTGCACAAATCAATTTAATGCAGACTGCAACAAACTGTTGATTGACACTGGAAGTCACAGCATTCTGGAAACGACCTCTGACATTATAATAATAATAATATCATTTATTGTCCAACAGGTAACACCCAATTACAGGACAATATTGAATACATCAGTACTGATAATAGATAAAATAAATGAAATCATGTTCATTCTTGACATGCTATATGAATATAACATAACAATGATATATAACATCGAATAGAAAACAAAAGAAAGAAAACTAAAACAAAAGAAAAAACTGATAGCATAACTAGTCATTGCGCTACTTGGTAAGAGTGATTATATTAACTGACTCTCTTACAACACAAAAAAGAAAAAACAGTTTTGATATCACTTTAAGATTTCCATTGAAACTTTTTTTATATGTTTCGCCGAGCAAGTATTAATATCGCAACAGCTGCATATTGAGTTGTAGTTTTCACACATACATTTAATTGGAGAATGCGATATTATGTTTGTTCGTGCTGCAGAGCAGTAAAATGTGAGATTCAGCCGTGACTGAGGTCTTGGCACCCTAAAGTTCAGTTCTGACAGGAGCAAATGGCAGTCTATTTGGCTGTGCAGTAGTTTATGCAAAAAGGTTATTGAAGCACATCTCCTTTTTTCTAAAGAAATTAATTGAAAGTGATTGAGAAGACTATAGTGGTGAGAACCCCTAGCTGGATAAATTCCAGTGTTTTTGAAGTACAAGAATTTCAAAAATTTTCTTTAAACTTTTTCAATTGAGTACTCATGACAGAAATAGTAGGGGCTCCAAATAATTGAGCAGTATAAAAGCTTGGATCTGACATATGAGAAATATAATATCTTCAAGGCGTTTATGTTTGTGAAGTTTTGACAATTTCGTGTGATAAATCCTAACATTTGTTTGGCTTCGGAAACTTTTTTGTTTATGTGATTGGCAAATGCCATTTTAAAGTCAAAAAATACACCTAAATCCTTAGTCTCCACACAACGGGTTAGCAAACTACCTTGAATATTGTATGGATGTTCAATATGTCTATGTTTTCTAGTATATGACATGACTTTACATTTACCTATATTCAGATGTAGGTTATTAATTTCACACCAAGCCTGCACATTATCTATCACATTTTGGATAGAATTCAGTATTTTCAGATCATCAGCAGAAAAAAGTTTCATAGAATTTATTTGCGTGCTTAAATCATTGATAAATATCAAAAACAACAGCGGTCCCAAACTCGATTCTTGGGATACGCCAGACTTAGCAATTATTGTGTTTGATTTGTATCCGTTGTAACAAACTATTTGGTTACGGTTAAAAAGGTACGATTCAAAAAAGCCTAGTAGCTTATTACTAAGCCCAATAAGGTCCGGTTTCGAATGTAAGATGCTATGATCAATTTTGTCAAAGGCCTTTGAGAAATCTGTCAACTAAGAACTGCTTATAAAGTACTGTTTCCGAGTAGAGAGGACTGGATCCTCCAGAAGAAGGAAATATTACAAGCAGATAGTTGTTGGTTCACAGATGGATCAAAAACACCTTCCGATTCTGGTGCAGGTGTTTTCAGTCGCAGACCCAGGACAGATATCTCAATCTGCCTAGGAACCTATGAGACTGTATTTCAAGCGGAAATTTACGTTATTGAATTGTGTACGGAGATATTGGGAGAATCCAACCTCATACACAAGTCAATAAAAATATCCTCGGACAGTCAAGCGGCGTTGGAAGCTCTTGGCTCCTACGAGCAACGTCTAAATTGGTAGCAAATTGACAAAATCGACTCTCCTCAATAGAAATACTTAAAACAGATTGTCTCTGGTCTGAATTCCTGGCCATACTGGCCTGGAAGGCAATGAGGCTGCTGATTCCCTAGCAAAGGAGGTTGCTGCAAGCAGCTTCATCGGACCAGAACCTGTCATTAGCATTGCTTTAGGCTTTGCCAAACAAAAATAGAACACCTGGATGGCAAGAAGATTCATGGACTTCTGGCGGAATCCTCCAGGATTGGCTCACTCCAAGGCGTATATTCACCCTTCAAAGCTTGATACCAAGCAGTTGTTTGACTACAGTAGAGATGAACTACAATGTCTAACAGGCCTTCTTACAGGTCACTGTCATTTGAATAATCATATGCAGAGACTCGGACTATCGGAAGTCAGTGTGCTTGAAAAATGATGAAACAGTAGAGCACATACTTTGTTCACAGACAAGAGATTCCGTGGACAAACAAAGCGACATACCTTGGGGTCATCCTAAACAGGAAACTAACATTCCTAGGCCCACGTACAGCAGAGAATAGGAATGGCCGAATAGGCCAGACGACGCCTGGCGCTGATCACAGGAAGAAGTAGTAACATGGCATTGAAAGTCAAGTTACTAATGATCAGAACGATTATAATGCCAATAATACTGTATGCATGTACTGCCTGGGGCCAGTGTGCGCAGACATACAGGAAGAAGATCCAATCGTTTATGAATGTGAGCGTAAGGGGCGCTGTAAACGCACCTTATTATATACCCAATAGATTTATATACAGAGACTTAGACCTGGACACGCAATATGTGGACATGTATATGAGAGAACATGCAGAAAGCACATTCGATAGAATCAGATCGCACTCAAATCCAGCGTTCCGCGATCTACACGATGCGTTAAATATGGATGACCCCAGATTCCGAGAAAGGGACAAACATCCTAGGCCGACTAAACAGATAACAGACCGCCCCCGTTAGTCGCCGTTAGGCGACTTAGGTAAGTATAACACTAACCAGATATACTATCTTCCAGGTAGGTTCAGCGAAGAACACTTCGACCGCGATCGCGACTCTAAAAATTTTTATTGGATGCACTGAGAAACGCTCGATGCATCAACACAAAGCCGCCGGTTAGTTTTTGGGGGCCCCCATGCTTAAATTCAGTTAGGAATAGTCAGATAAAACAACGATTCGATAAGAAAGTAAAAGCACCCAAAGGCTGACTTTCGACCAAAAGAGGTCAGATGTCGTCAATCTTGCTGATCAGCAAGTTGAGGACCGCTCGGAGAGCGGGGGTGGATGGAGTGGCGTAGTAGGTCCTCCTCGCTAAATAGCTGGGGGGGAAGCTTCTACTTCAGGGCACTCAACTCGGGCGGGGGCATGGGGGGATACTTTGTTCCTGCCCCGCTGGGGACCGAATCAGGTTTTTAGAGTTCGGCAGAGCCGTACCCTTACTAAGTGACCTGAAAGACCACTCACCATACCTACTAATTGGCTTCGTTAAGAAGATGGGTTTATTTGGTCGAGTGTTAATAGGTTTGAGCCACAATAAACTCTTAAGGGTTGCGGTGGAGGTCCGAATAGACCCACTCACTTTGGACCTAACCATAGCACTGATGATGTATGCCGCAGTAGCAGACAAAACGGTTGCTACTTCAGGGGTCCATTCTACCACGGCCAACCAACCCGGATTTGGTTCTCTTCAACTGTTTTATTTTGTTTCAGCTTTGAAATTATTAATCATGGGAAGTTCAAATCCACATTTCAAGGCTCACTGTGAAATTTTATTTTGAATAAGAGTAAAAATTGCCGATTTTGAGTTACAGTTTCATATGAAAAAGTCACCACTGAGAGAACTCTCCCATTGCAACGGGCCCTGATGCCAATCTATAGTCTCTATAGGCAGATCGTCAATACTCACATGAGAAGAGCGTCAACAAAGATTTCAATCGTATTTCAGAAATCCTTTATCTTGATTAGATTGTGGTTGTCTGGACCATTGTCCATCAGGATTGTTTTGACCGACTCCTGCTACACTGCCAGCCCCACTACCGCCCCCACCACCTTGATTCATCCAATTTAAAAATCCAGGATTGGTTCCTCTTTGACCGCCGCCATTTTGGTTTGTTGCTATGAGAAAAAACAAATAAAACTTTATTTCAGGTAACATGGTCAGAAATCAAATATGCAAATAAAAATCTAATCTGACATTTTAAGTATGTTTCTTTAAACAAGCATCAAGTATTGGAGAGAACACGAAAAGGGTAATATAAAAATCTGAAGCTTTTTCTCCACGGGCACTGCAACCGTTGTTACTACATCGCCTTTGATGTCTACCGCAGTAGTAGACGAAACGTCATACACAAAAACTTGCAGACCACGGCCAAAAAACCCAGAAAGTAGCTTTCACACATAAAAAACTATTGTCTGGTAGAATAAATCTTCAAATACAACCAACAAAAAAGTTCATATCGAACTTTTTTGTTGGTTGGGCATTTTACTTCA